GCGCGCATGCGCAGCGATGGTACAGTAGTTGGGTTTGTCTGTCCGTCTGTTTGTCTGTTTGTCTGTTAGTCTACATCTCACTCGAACGTCTGTTCGTCCCAGAAACGATACCCTCTACCCAACGGTTGACGAAGGTCAGAAAATAACGGTTTTCTCTGAAAATGCTCCGTTGCAAAGCTAGAGCACGAAAATATGCAAATACGCAACGGACGGGATGGGTCTGATCGATCAGCGTGCTCTGCGACCTCGGAGGCACCAGAAGATGCGACGCAGGGCGTGTATCGCCTCTCGCATTCTGTCTAATAGTGTAGTTAGCCCGCGTCAGACTCTGCGCGAGATGGCTAGAGACCAGGAATAACAGCCAGAACTAAACCCGGCCCATCAATTAGTGATACAGCGCATACGTTTACTCACGCGTGCGCGTCACAATGCGCCGAGGGTTTGCACTTCAGTGCTTTTCATTACTATTAGTATTTGTGATATTCTCTTGCCAAGGGGAGGGGAGTGGGAGGGAGAGGATTGCTAGCCGAAGGGAGGGGATGGGGTACGCGGAGGGGAGGGGAGTGGGTTGGAGCATTGCTAGCTTATCTTTGCATACTCTCTCCTTCCTCATTTCCCCTTCTTTCTCTTCTACCGATGCTGAAAGAGGCAAAACTTGTTAGGTTTTGCAGGACCTATTGCCCGTATCTCGTGTATCACAAGCTTATCACAAGCTGCTCAACATTGCTACTGGTGAGCTACAAAATATCATAATACATGTACATTTCATCAAAATCCTCACATGCCTATAAATGTACAAATGCAATCACCAGGTGTAATCGGTATTCCGAATGAGTAGCTGTCCTTTATTTTTCCTCACATGCCGTATAAATATAGGTTACACTATGCCCACGAGACGGTTTAGTGGACATACACTATGAGTACGCAGCAAGAGTAGTGTATGCACTAAACCGTCGAGTGGGTGTAGTGTAACCAATTTGTACCACAGGAATTCGCACTAAGACAACTTATTGGTATGCATGCCATGGTATATGAGAGCTCATACACCTCATGTGGGTGTATGGCTGAGTCAGCACACCATACACCATGGCATGCATACTAATGAGTTGTCTTAGTGCGCATACACTGCGTGCGGTGCCTTTGATTTCTAGGGCTTCTGTGGTACAAAAGAACGAAAGCAATTACCTGGTGTAATCAAGGTGTTCCGAATGAGTAGCTGTCATTTATTTTCCCTCACATGGGGTATAAAAGTACGAAAGCAATCACCAGGTGTCATCAAGGTGTTCCGAATGAGTAGCTGTCCTTTATTTTCCCTCACATTCTGTATACAAATACGAAAGCAATCACCAGGTGTAACCAAGGTGCTCCGAATGAGTAGCTGTGCTTTATTTTCCCTCAGGATAGCCATGCGTATTGTTGTATTGCTGTCCTCCTCCTGGCTGTAAGATCACCAGAGTAAGAGTACCAGGCTCTTTTCCTCTACCACAAAGAGCCTGCGGATGTGGCTATCGTATGCACATGTCTTTCTACACACTCTGTGCAGGTCACCATCGCAGTCAGTGGTGTGGATGTGTACGTACACACATGGCAGACATTAGGACAAGAACGACATTATTTTCTACTGTAATTGGTGAGTGACACATATAGATCAGAGACACACTATGAGTGTGACATCACGATGGCTGCCAAGTTTTGTTTGATACACGTCCATACTATTAGTATGCGCATACAGTGTGTACCAGGCTCTTTTCCCATCCCACAAAGAGCCTACGGACAAGGCTATCGTATGCACATGTCTTTCTACACACTCTGTGCAGGTCACCATCGCAGTCAGTGGTGTAGATGTGTACGTACACACATGGCAGACATTGAATGACATTACTTTCTACTGTAATTGGTGAGTGGCACGGAGATCAGAGAAACACTACACGTACTGCTGGTTGTAGGTATGTAGAACTGAGCGTAAAAAGACTGTCCAGTAATGCCTGTGTAAGGCAGCTTGTGACTGTCTCAGCACAGGTAGGGCAGTGGGCGCCACATTCTGCGTTGGTGTGGGTGACGGTTTCACTTGCACAATGTATCCTGTAACCATAGTATATACCGTGTCTCATATTATTCTTGCCCTTATCCTTACTACTAAAGTATGGCATATTCAGTAGTTGTGTGGCTCTTTGGTCTATGGTCAACTGCATGTTAAAACCTGTTAGTTGTGAGTAGGCCACTCCCATATAGCAATAAATTTTTAACAAAAACCACAACTGTTCCTGCTCTTTTCTGGTATATAAGGTGAGGGCTAGCATCCCTGGGCTAAGCTGGCTGGCTCTCTAGAGCTGGCCCATTCAATGGGTTTAGGAGGGGAACCTACAAACCCAATTTTTGGAGGCCATTACCCTACGATGGCCCTGTATCACCACCCAGTGGGCACACACCCCTCCCTTTGGTGTGCTCCAGCTGTGTGTGTGTAAGGCCTAGGGTTAATGGCCAGTGAATTTTAAAAAATCAATTACCTTTTTCTCTGTCTGTCCGTCTCTCTGGTTCCATTCAGCAGGAGAAGGTTCCTGCGTCAACCAACAGCTCTACTACTGTCCTGTCACTGGCCAATAACTCCTGCAGACACTATGGAGAGCCTTATAGGTGGGTCTTTATTAACCCTCGCGTGCATGCGCAGCGAGGGTTACAGTAGTCGTTCTCATCTGTTGTGTCGATGGCTTATTCTTGCCTACATGCTACAACAGCCTGTGTCCCTCCTCCCTGCTCTCGGCCCCCTCCTCCCCCTCCGCCACCATCCAACCCTCTCCCTCCTTGTAGGGGCATGCCGCGGACTGTAAGTGGCGTCCATCACTTCTCACCCTCTCTCCCTCCTGTGCCACATACAATACAGGGAACCTTCTGCGGACTCTCCGTTTCACCCCATACTAAAGTCTATTTCACTTCACCTGAGCCCTCGGAAAATAGTCAATTGTAAAAACGCTAACACCATTGGAGTCCTCGCAACTTTCCCGTTTTGATGATCTTGGTTCTAAACCTCATCAGTCAGAAGTTAGCTGTACTGATGTCCCATAAGAAAAGTATGCCATAAGTAAAGTATGTGGTGCCAGTATAAACTGTTTACACAACCACTTCCAGGGCTCAGGTGGACGTGAATAGACTACATACCTACACCTCTAAATAAGGTGTCACATATTCAGGTATGCAAGCAGAGTACGCAAAGTTACGTTATCATGCACATACATCCCAATCAAAACCACATTTAACTGAGCATTTTGCACACTACAGAGGGCAATTGAGACCATGGGTAGAATAGCAACTTGCAATTAAAAGTCTGGATGAAAGTTGTCCCCCATCTACAGTTGCACCATACATGCAGCTGCAGTGGTGTTTGTTCAGTTTGGTTCACAATATGTCAGCATTGCCCCGTCCCACCATACCACATTGCTGCGTCATGAGGATCGAATCCATTTTCTATCTTCGTGACACAAAGTGATGCAGCGGGGAGCAACGGGGCAATACGACGTCCAGCCTTAATTCCGAGGCCACGTACCTTTCCCTTGGTTTTCAAGGCGACAATCTCCGAGGCGACGAACCCAATGAACCCTATGATGATCAAGACGACTCCAAAAGCGGCTGCTAATTGAAGGATGAACCCTGTAATAACCAGTCCACCAGAACAGCAGCCGGAATCACTAAGATCGTCCCAACGCTGCACAAACATACATGGAATTATGCAGTATTAAACATTAATATGTCAGGACCTATAGAAAAAGTTGCTACTGAGTACAACACCATCATAGAGAGGTAATGGAGTTAGAGTGGCACACCAGGCAACAATAATATAGTGAACGGGTCAGCGTGCTCAAATATGTTCGTCAACCGCTTGTCAAACGAAGCTGCAATTCCTGCGGTTCTGGTGTGTGACCTGCTAGATGAGTGGCCAAAATCATTACACAGTTGGATTAGGTACAGTGGGGGGAAATTACACTGTTACGACAACTAGGTTAGCTCCAACTTGTCAAAGAAGTATATAGGAAGCCCTTAACCTACTAGGTAACGCAAGTACGTGGGTTGTCACTGTTTTGTTTCGTATGCTCAAAATTGTTAACTTATCACTAGTACAAAGACACAACATAAGTACATATATAACAATAGCAGTGTTGTTGTGTTACTAGGTGAAGATCTGTATACGATTGTTCCCATAATCACTGACATACAGCGTTCCTTTCTTGTCTACTGCTAGTCCATATGGACAATCGAACTCCACAGGACCTTTTCCCTTTCTTCCAAATGACTTGATAAACTCTCCATCAGTAGAGAATATTGATATACGATTGTTCCCCCGTTCACCAACATACACGACATTGGCAGAGTCAATAGCAATACTAACTGGCTGGTTTAGTTCTCCCTCTCCTTCTCCCTTCTTCCCAAACTGCCTCAAGTAGACTCCATCGACTGTGAAGATCTGGATTCTGTGGTTGTTCTTATCACCTACATACACATTGCCATCTCTGTCTGTAGCTACATCATAAGGATAGTCAAACTCTCCATTGTCAGAGCCCTCCCTACCAAAACTACTGGAGTATGTGAGATCGGAGTTTAAAACCTGAATTCTGTGGTTGTGATAGTCAGCAACATACACCTTGCCAGTGTGAGGATGAACTGTAATGCCTACTGGACTCTGGAACTGAAGAGGTCCACTGCCCTCGGTACCGACTGTTCTGAGGTGTTTGCCAGTGGACAACAACTGCTGAATACGATGGTAGCCATCAGTCACAAGAATGTTTCCTTTGCTGTCTATTGCTACACCTTCAGGACAGTAGAACTGACAAGGACGACCTGAGCCACGAGTACCAAATGATTTCTTCTCCCCATTTCCACTGATGATTGATATGCAGTGACTACTCCGTTCCGCTACTACAACCTCTCCTCCCTCCCTAACAGTTATACCATTTGGTACATTGAGGTCTCCAATGATGTTGGTTGGGGCAGTGAAGTTGGGTAGAACGGTGACAGTGAACGGACTGTTCAAGATAGGGTGCTCTTCTATTAGAATGTGTAGTTGATGTTCTCCAGTGACCTGAGGCCGGTAGCTGATGTCGTAGATGTTCTGATTTCTTCTCTTCACAGTGCCCCTGACTCGACTGCTGTCATCGCTAGCAACTAGCTCACACCTCAAGCTGTCTACAGGTCGTAGGTAGGCTTCTCCCTCCCTATCTAAAGCCTCAACAGAGACAGCTGCTGTTTGCTCTCTCGTGGCTACCTTGATGCCTTCACCTGAGGCTCGACACTTCTCAGGGCACACTGGAGGACAGTACACCTTACCAAACTGCTGGCAAGTCTTCACCAGCTCATGCAGACTGTGAACAAACACCATGTCGGCTTGCTCGGCAAGAGCCAATGTCTCTGGCTTGAAGCTGCCCGTCAGGCCGTTGACTTGTTTCACGAGAGGACTCTTCATCCTCAGAATCTCCCCCTGGCTGCAAGTACGTCGGCTCTCCTCCACAAAGTCCTGGCAGCTCCTCCGCTGGCCAAGTTGCAGTTCAAACCCGTCTCGCTGTGCTGCCAAGGTCTTCAGTTTCTGCTGCGCCGTCTGCTCTGCTTGACCCACCAGCTCTGTCTCCCTCGCCTCTAGAGCTTGTCGCAGGTGTGCCATGGCAGTCCGGATCTCTGCCACCACAGCCGTCTTCTGTTCTACGACTGCAGCACACTGAGTGTCCACTGACTCGACGGCTCTTTCTAACGTAGCAATCTGTTCTTCCACTGGCTTGAGAGAGTCCACGATCACTTTCTGTTGCTTGGCAAATGACTCGGGCACCAGATCGTACTGGTGGTCACGATGAACACGAACGATGCAGTCTCGACATATCAACTCGTCGCACGTCTCGCAGTAGAGGTCTGCCTCCTTGTGCTTGTGCTTGGAGCAAAACAGAGTCTTCTTGAGAGGAGGAACGAGGGTTGTCACGTGCTCTGTCAAAGTGTTTAGGTCAATAAAATCATGGGTTTTGAATTCCTCCCATTCCTGATGGAGTTCCTTGCAGCGCTGGCATGCAAACCCGCAAGTACGACAAAAGCCAACTGCTTCACGTTTTGTGCACTTTTGCACATTGTTTGTTCGCTGGAGCTCACTTTCTTGAGGGCATCTTGGATGTCGAAGAGGTAGTGGATGTAGAAGGCTCCTTGGAGCCCCGTGACTCCACCCACTGGCACTGGAGTGTCCTGGCGACATTGTGGACATGGGAGACTCTGTTTCTCTCGTCCCCCACGTACCAGACGTTGCAGGCACTGCTCGCAATACACGTGGAAGCACTTGAGCAGCCTCGGCTGTTTGTAGGGCTCCAGACATATCCCACAGGTGACCTGGTCCTGGATCTTATGGAGAGCTTTCTCGGCAGCAGTGGAGGGTTTGGCAGCCATGGCTCTGTCAGTAGTGCAGCAGAGGGTCTAGTGAAGACTGAGGCAAGCAAGCTGCTCAAGAAAGAAGCAAACAAAGGCAGTGGGCTAACTCTAAGAAAAGGATTAAACTGAGGCTCACAGGAAACAGCCCTTGACTTTCTGTCACTCTACCAATAGTAGAACTACACACTATTGCATGCCTGACCTTATTTGGAGATTCTAGTGAGATCATGAATACTGAAACAGGTGGTCTGACTGTAGTACTGACCAATCACATTACCCAGTGTGCCAAACACACTGATCAACCAAACACACTGGGTAATGAGATCCAACAGGCACACTAACTGTGAGCATTGCAACACATTTGCATACTGGCTGGTGTCGAATCATTTTTGGCGAGTGAGCATGAGTAGTTCAATTTTGACCCACATTTGGAAACTGCGTTAAATGTTTTGTGCGTATTTAGAATCACATAACGTTACAATAACATGTGCAGTGCCCGTTTAAATAGCGCGGGCTTCTGGTCCTTCCGTTAACTACGTTTAACTTCCTTACATGTATGCGTCGTACCAAATTTTAAGGATTGGTAACTTTTCACAACGATGTCAGTTAACAAAATTACCCAGCACAAACTACAGTCTGGGTTATATTCTCAAAGTCTCCTCCCGAAAAAACCCTCCCTGAAATGTTAGTCACACTAGATGTCTCACCATAGGGATGCCATTCAAATGGCTCCACTCCGGAGTAATGGAGTATGAGGAATCCGTGCCAGAGCCAGGCGAGAGTGTTTATCCCGAGGTAACCAAGGAAACGGAGACTATTGGCAACAGACGCAGGGTCTCCCTCTTCGGACCCCCATTTCTTGTAGCCCACTTCAAACACGGCATAGGAGATGACGCTGTAGAACAGGGCCTGTGTAGAGAGGGAGGAGTGAGAAGAGAGAAGAAATGGGTTGAAATACTAGCTACTGTATGACTCTTTCACAAACAAAGAGGCATTTATGTATGTATGTGACGTATGAAAATATACAGTAAAACTGAACATAATTTAGTGAGTTTGATACTTGCACACTACACCTTACCCAATTGCAAACCACTAGGTTGGCATAACTCCTCTCTAAGGACACCTCTCTAATGTTCTTTTCCCAAGAACACTTAGTTGCAACCTCTGAACTAGGACAGCTAACTAATCCCATTGGTGTCCGGATTAGAGGGGTTCCAGTTCCACTGTGTCACACAATACTTCTGAATAGCGTAAGTCGCAACTGCCATTAACTCCCCTTTTCACACTGAGAACCATTCCTCAGGGAGACGAGTTGTTTGCCTACCTTCCACCTGTTTACACTACCAGAGTGCATAAAGGAGTGGCTCATGCTCAGAGAGAGAGAGAGAAAAAACGAACAAAACTGACACTAAATACATTTACACAACATCAGCACAGTGCGACTGAAAAATTGAGATGCAGAAAAATTGCTCTTTATTCTTGATAAAAGCAAACCTGTTTATCGCCTGTTTTCTTGTGCCAACCAAGTGGTTTTGCGCAAGGTGTAGTGTCTGAAATAAGGACACCTCTCTAAGTTCTTGCAACCTCTGAACTACTAGGACAGCTAGCAAATTTCTTCCATCCCATTGGTGTCCGGATTAGAGGGGTTCCACTGTGTCACACCATAGTTCTGAATAGCGTAAGTCGCAACTGCCATTAACTCCCCTTCTCACACTGAGACCCATTCCTCAGGGAGACGAGTTGTTTGCCTTTGCTTTGCCTTCCACCTGTTTACACTACCAGAGTGCACTAAAGGAGTGGCTCATGTTAAGTGGCCTTTTAAGAGAGAAAGAGAAAAAACTAACAAAACTGACACTAAATACATTTACACAACATCAGCACAGTGTCACTTAAAATTGCTCTTTATTCTTAATAAAAGCAAACCTGTTTATCGCCTGTTTTCTTGTGACCCTCCTGCCAGGCCTGTTCTTGGTGAGTACCGGTTCCTTATCTCCTCCTTTGTTCCTTTCCCTCTTTCTCTCTCCCTCCTCCTTTCTCTCCCTCCCTCTTCCTCTCCACATTGCTCTCCTTCAGTGGTACTGTCTTTAACTTCCCTGTAATGAGAGAGAGGGGGGGTTAGGTTATTGCTATATTATGTTCTTGAATAAGCATTAAGGCTGCTATTAGTTACCGTTCTGTACATGTTTTTCTTGGCAAGTCACCTATAGTGTAAATTTGGCATACTGTCGACATACATAAGTCTGACCTGAGTCAATGTAGGAGTATTTCTACAGCAGTTGATCTGTAGACGGCAGCAGGAGACTGGAGGACGACCTTCCTACTCGGCCAGGCAGGAGCTCCAGAACAGACCTCTTCTTCCTCGGGGCGTGAGGAGTACTAGACGATCCTTGGCTACCCGTATTTCTCTATGACGACTCTTCCTTTGACTTACTGTTCGTAGCAGTGGTAGAAGGTCTGGGTCGCTTCCCGCTAGTAGCGAGGGCCGCGCAGGGAGAGCGAGGAGACGGTTTAGGTGGGGCTCCGGGGTTTTCTTCTCCTTCGCCGCGCCGTGCGGCTCCGAGCGGTAGAGGTGGTGGTTGGTAGATACGCTGCTGAGGTCCTCCGTAGCCGGCGTACTGCCAGGGAACCTTCAACTGCTGAGCCATCCCCGAGTAGTCAGAAGTGGTGGCTACGTGCTGCGCGTTATTTAGAAGACGTAGCTACTGCGTTTGCTTGTGTCAGTAGCTCTGCGAAGAGAGGGAGGAATAAAGTGTAGCGAACCCACTATTTCTGTTGCTTTGGATCTCCGCTTCGCTTTGGAAGTCTTTCTAACATCGCTCTATCCATGATCCAGTCCGCAATACTGAGTCAATGTAGGAGTATTTCTACAGCAGTTGATGTGTAGATGACATCAGGAGACTGGAGGTGGCCCCTCCTACTCCGCGAGGCAGGAGCTCCAGAACAGACCGCTTCTTCCTAGATCCTCTGGGCGTGAGGCGTACTAGACAGCCCCTGGCTACCCGTCTTTCTCTGTGACGACTCTTCCTTTGACTTACTGTCCGTCGCAGTGGTAGGAGGCCTAGGTCGCTTCCCGCTAGTAGCGTGAGCCGCGCAGGGAGGGCGAGCTAGGAGACGGCGGTTTAGGTGGGGCTCCGGATTTTTCTTGCACCTCGCTGCGCCGTTCGGCTCCGAGCGGCGGTGGTAGATACGCTGCTGAGGTACACCGTAGCCCGCGTACTGCCAGGGAATCTTCAGCTGCTGAGCCATTCCCGAGCAGTCTGAAGCTACGTGTTGCGCGTTATTTAGAAAACGTAGCTACTGCGTAGTCTTGTCTGTCAGTAGCTCCGTGGAGATAAGGAAGACGATTTACTGCGAAGAGAGGGAGGAATAAAGTGTAGCGAACCCACTATTTCTGTTGCTTTGGATCTCCGCTTCGCCTTGGAAGTCTTTCTAACATCGCTCTATCCAGTCTGTCCGCATTCCCGCTGTTTGGCGCGCGAGTAGTTTCCATGGCAACCACACATCGGCGCATGCGCAGTAGGTACAGCAACTACGCGTTTTGTGGACATGACGTCACATTGTGTAAAAAAAACGTGAATAATATTGAGAGCCTTTTTCTACAATCAGTACTAAAAATATAGTACACAGCTACTTTACATACAACTCAACCTGCTATGTTGTCATATTGTATGCTGTCATAGATACACATTTTCAGTTCAAGGTCATCGTTAGTTGTCTGGTTGAGGGTTTTGGTGAAATATGAAGGATTGTGGAAAGAGCAACATGTACTGGTGGAGTGACAGTCTTCACCATCCCAGAGAGTGTCATTGGAGTGGAGTCTTAACACTTATTCCAGTACCCAGGAAGCACATACCCTGACTCACAGAAGTAATCTTCTCCAGATGGTATGATTGGTATAATACCACTAATGTCACATGGACAGTTGCTGGTGGGGTATTGTGTCGTATTCTCAAATGCTCCGTTAGCAAATGTCCAGATGTGTTGTCGAGGACTGCCATGCATTACAGCCACACCACTGACATAGGCACTGTCAATTGTAGTTTGTCCACCAATGGTATACCCATAAAAGGCATCAGGTACTCCCCACTGGTAGGCTCTGATCCTGCCACACACTTGACTGTATGGTCCTCCACAGACAGGGAAGAAGGCTGAGTCACAAGTCCTGTCTCCAATACTACCTCTGCCACAAGTTCTCTTGGAGTATCCAGTGAGCTGCCAGCCAGATGGACAGCTGGTGTTGGGGTCTGTCATATCCAGGTAGACTGCACGTCTCCAACCCCATATTCCTCCACATTTTGACCCTCCAGCGTTATTAACAATCTGTTCTGTCAGGCTCTGGTTCATTCTCATCAGTTTAGTAGTGATTTGATAGTCATGTTCGTCAATCTTGTCACATATCATGTTTGCTGTGCCACTTAACCCTCTCTCGACACCACTGAAATCATCTCTCATTGATTCATTCAGAGAACTCAGTCTGGTGTCAAGTTTCTCAACCTCTTGTGTGAGATTATCAACCTTTTTGGCTGAGGCTTGTGCCATGTCAGACTTCATATTCTTCATGTCTTTCTCAATAGTCTCCAAAGCTGGTCCTACAACTTCATACACAGCTGCAGCAATCCTCACAACTGCAGCAAACACATCCAGTATTGTGCAGGACAAAATTGTGGTGCCAAGTATTATCTATTCCCTTACCATCACATTGAGACTGTCCCAGCTGAACGTTAGACAGTGTCACTAGACACAAGACCAGCAGAAAATACCTGTCCATCTTGTCAGTACTCCAGAGAGTTGACAACTATAACAGCAGTAAACACTCTGGCAAACGTGATATCTGTCCTAGTTGCTTTTTCTTATATACCAGCTGTGTTTGCTTAGCATAGCCTTCAAATGCACTTATCCACGAGGTGTACAAACAATGGCAAACACAAGCTGCACTCGTTGGGTCACTGACTGTGGTGAGTTTAGGTTTATGAAAATGAGACATTACACTCTGACAGTGGTGGAGGGAGAGGCTCTGTATGAACTGTCCTGTGGAGTCCCAGACTCCGACCACAGCACAAACGTGCAGTGGACTCAGGGGACACGCCCTCATCCCATTTGGAGCCCGCCTCCTCTTCATTACAGTACAGTCCGCCCACCAGGGAGAGTATACCTGCACTTACAATGGCAGCACGTTCAGTGTCTTCCTCAATGTCCTCGGTGAGTTACATCATGACCGTCTTATAGACATAATGAGTTATAGACATAATGAGCACACAAGAATTCTATAACATTTTATTGTCATTTTTCTTATAGCTACGATATTGTTTTTTTTTGCATCGTGTATTATATCATGGCCTTTCCCTCTGTGTTAATATAGTTGCATAGCCTTTCTGCACCATTTTGTACTACCATACAACCTGCAGATGAACCTTTGCTTGAGAAATGTGTCAAATGTGCTTGATTTGCGAGTATTTTTGCCTGAAAATGCTGCGTGTCCATTCAAAATTATAGGCATGATGCATCACAGGTTAGCACAAAAGATGGATTTGGCGATTTTCAGGTGGGATAGGCAGTATTTTTCCTTGATTATCAAGCAAAAAGCGGGATGGTTGGTACAGGTATGTAATATGCCGTTTTAGCCCAGCTTTTCTATGGGGTACAAACCAGCATCCCACAATTAGGCCATAGAATTACATGCAGCAGAGTTGGTACTGTGGCTTTACAGTATGCAATTCTTCCAGAATCATGTTTTGTCAGATTCAAACAGAGCGTCTCCCTGCAGGTGGCGTGGTTCTTGAATGGAGAGCCAGTTGACGGCCGTAGTGTCCAGGCCACGCCTCTAGCCACAGGGTCTCTCTACCTCCACCCTCCTCTGCCCCCCGGGGACACCATCGCCACATGTGAGGCCAGCAACCATCTGGGAGTGGTCCGGAGCACTACCGTCATCACTGCCTCCTAGACTATAGCACCGTGACTGACAGAGAACCTTTCATTGCGGTACAATTGATGATGCAATCGTTGATACTTGTGTTTTCACTTGTCAAAAGTAACGGCACACAGTGTACTGTATTGGACTTCAATATGGCAAATGTCCAGTTGTACTACTGCATGCAGAACATACCAAAGGAGGTGTAGTAGTGCGTACGTCCATGTACCACACTGTATACATTGTCCACACACTCTTTCAGTGAATTCATAGTTTCAGATTGTATCTCACAAACACTGTCTTGCGCACTGCCTCCACACATTAACCAACATAATGTAAGAGGATGGAAGAAAACAGTGATTGTATAATAACAGTGCTGAATAATAGTGCCTCTACATGTCCGGTATCAACGTATAGACATACAAACATACACCAGACAGTAGTACAGACAATGCCCTGTGCTCAGTGTCTCTACCAAAACCCTCTGTACAAATAGATGTATACAAAAGTTGTGTAGCTATGGAGATGAGACATTAGAAGAGGTATTTGAGGAGTGTTCTTCGAAACTGTTTCCTGCGTCGCGACCTCAGCAGCAGGCTTGTCTCCTCCTCCCTGCTCTCCCCCTCCTCCCACATCCCACCCTCTCCCTCCTTGTAGGGGCATGCCGCGGACTGTAAGTGGCGTCCATCACTTCTCACCCTCTCTCCCTCCTGTGCCACATACAATACAGGGAACCTTCTGCGGACTCTCCGTTTCACCCCATACTAAAGTCTATTTCACTTCACCTGAGCCCTCGAAAAATAGTCAATTGTAAAAACGCTAACACCATTGGAGTCCTCGCAACTTTCCCGTTTCTGATGATCTTGGTTCTAAACCTCATCAGTCAGAAGTTAGCTGTACTGATGTCCCATCTACCCCACACACCAGTCACTGAGTGTCATGTACATACCCCAGTCACTTGGACGTCAGTACCCAATACCCCAATCACTGAGGTAGCTAAATAACCTCAATACCTACCCCATTCACTGGGGTCATTGCCAGTGCCCCAATGCTCCATTAGTGTCCACCACTCTCTCACAGATGGTTTAGATATATTCATGTACACTCTCACAACACATGCATGACCAAACAGTCTTAGTAGTCTTTGAGTTGCTTCTTCATGTCAGTCCTTGTGACCGGGAGGCTAACTTTTGTTGAAGACTCCGGTAAGAGACTTATAAATGTTTCACGGTGCTATACTCCTGGGTGCCTTCTTTCAGTAGTCATAATTTACATTGAACAAGCACCTAAACGTTCGTAAGTATTGTGACCAGCGATTCAAACCAGAGCGATGGAACCATAGATACATGCTCAGGATAAAATTTTGGCAGAGAAAACTGTTACCATTTGTTCACTAAGCTCTTACCTACAATATTACTTCCTTTCCATGGTCCTCCTCAGCGAGGGATTGTATGAATTGGGTAGTCAAGCGTGCTCAATCTGTGGGTTCTGGTGTGCCGACTGCTCTAAGTGCATTAAAGCCTGGTGCATCAAAATCATGGAAATTTCTGATTTTTGTTTGTTTTGAGAGTGTCACATTACCTTTTACTTTCAAACTTGGTAACGTGATAAAACTCATAGGTCTTAACTCCCTTAACAAATTGTGACCACGCCCACATTATTTTTTTGTTTACATGTAATTCGTATATGCGTTTAGGCGGATTGCTTACACTTCGAATTAAGAATTCATCTTGGGCTCAGAGAAAAAGTACATACTAAAGTAAATCTTTATCCAACGGGGAAATGAAAAAAACTAATAACGCGTCGATAACGAACTAAAATATCGAAACCGCGCCCAGTTTTACGATAAAAACGGGCCCTGCATCTAAAACTGTCAAGTTGCTCACCTTCCCCGTTGGATAAACAGTCAGAGGACTTTGCGTTTGTCTTTCTTAACGTAAAAAAGTAGCTATAGACTAAGCGGAACCCTTCCGCCTAAGCGAAAACAGTTGTGAAAAACTTACTACCCGTCTGCGTTCCGCGCATGCGCATATTCGTAAAATTACGTCCTTACATGGCGTTATTCCGTATATTTTCCGTGAAACGTTACTACGGGGGCGTGGTTACGTGATTCCGTCCAGCTTCCGGTTTGCTGCTCGCGGACAGGCCTTAACGCACCAGAGTCCGCCTGGAACATTCATTTCCCTGAATGAAATTCAGGCCTAAATTTCCACAGATCTGCCATTATAGATCCACAGACACAGGATTGTACCTGCGTTCTGGGGGAATTTGGCCGGGTTCAACGTTGTACGTGAGCCTTCTCCGCTTTGTAGGCAACTGCTCGACTGAATCGGAGCTCCTCTTGGAACTCTCCTTTTCAGGATTTTTAGGAGGAGGAGGAGCTGCTGCTTGATGGCACATAACTTTTTTCACTCCCAGCTGAGCAGTTTCTGCTACGCTTTGCACTGGGAGCTTCAGTTTTCAGAGCGGCAGTCAGTTTTCGCTTTCTGGTCTGCGTTGTACACTGCCGTGGAACAGTGTACTGAGGCAGATCCGGACGGAATGTCTGTCTCAATCGATTGATTTCTTGCACAGACACTTGGCACTGACCTCGATTGCTTCCTCTTTGAATGCAATCAGATGCAGGTTCTCCAGCTGCTTCACACGGAAAAGACTGAGTGCAAGCACGCCAGTGCAGATAATACTCACATGTACTAGCAATGTTGAGGTACTCATGACTGCGTACACATGTGTCGTATTATTGTACTTGAAGGCTGGGCAGTCATGCTGGGTGTATACACTCACACGAGCACAATGTCTCCGTTCACACTCAGTCACAGCTCAAAAGACCTCGAAAACAGCGGCAACCATCGGCGGTGTACATGTTTCGAATGAAACATACTGCCGCAGGCACACACTCAGGTAACGAATGGTACAGACTGGGACGGTATGGTGAGAGGGTCGATCGGGATAGCTGATGACACATAGCCGAAATCGAACGATTACAACTCTGTGTGTTGTACTACTTGCTTGCTCCCCCTATTATTATGTTTTGCACATTATTTGAAGAAGGTCCCTCGAAGATACATCCAGTTCCTTCTCGCATCAAACAAGGCTAAGCATCATCGAGAGTAGGCATTTTGAGCACCGCTAGATTAGACAATCGCGCTTTCATGCAACTACATGGTGTGTTACTCAGCTTACGCTGAAAACATTGAGTATAACTATTTCTCATTGACTTTTCGTGCATTATGCCATCAATATTAGACACAGTTGTTTCTGGAAAATCTCGCTTTAGGCAATAGTATCACTCTTTTGTCGGCTCATAGCCTGTAGTGCCAGAATAGCAGTAACAGAGAGACTGTAGACAAAAAGACAGACAATTACCCAAAAACCACCGAAGGTTAATAATCAAGTAAACACTTCAGCTTGACACGGCCATGGTTATAGCAACATTGTACTAATGTGACAGCAGCTGAAGTGAGGCACAAACAGATAATCAAGGCTGGAAACTAAATTTAGCTCTTCAAATGGCTGTAAAAGACTAAAACTTAATTTACAGTTGAAATTTAATACATAATACTAATACTAGCCAATGTAACAACAGAAGCCTTACAACTTTCACCAGGGAAGGGTACAATGAAAGTATTGACCTCAGACATTAGACACTTTGAAACTGCCTGACTCTGTACAGTACTACACATGGTTAAGGGTAACTCAGAGAAGATTGCAGATTTACGTAGTAATCTATATAGGGCAGTGTTTGGGCTAGAATTATCAGACCAGATAGTTTCAAAGAGCATTTGTTCACTTGAAAAAATTACTAACACACATAAGGATATTTGAAACCTGCGTAGGCAAATAAATTGTAAATCGTAAGTGGGTATAAGCTCTAGCTCTTTCAGTCTAGATTGTTTCCATAACTCAAGGCTTTTGAAAAACTACGTACACAAAAAAACCTAGTAGATGTGTATCATAAAAGATCTACAAGGTAGT